GGAAGAAAACATAATCAAAATATATGATAAAGTTTTATTTTTTTAAAGATTTTATTTTTCCTTTTTCTCCCCACAGCCCCCCAGTACATAGCTGTGTATTTTTAGTTGTGGGTCCTTCTAGTTGTGGCGTGTAGGACGCCGCCTCAGCATGGCTTGATGAGTGGTGCCATGTCCGCGCCCAGGAACCAAACCAGCGAAACCCTGGGCCACCGAAGCGGAGCTCGCCAACTTAACCACTCAGCCACAGGGTGGGCCTCTGCAAAAGTATTTTATAACCTCAAAACACTAGAGAAATTTAAGGTACCATTAGGATTAATGTTATACATACACTCCATCCAAACTGGTATTATCTTTGAAAGGAACACCCAAAGACTCTCTTGTGGGATAAAATTGCCCTCCTTAATGTCAACCGTAAACTGTTTGTATATCAAAATATACTGGTTTCCTTAACATTTATTATGCAATTTTAATGAAAATAAAAACATGTTACAGTGACAAAATATTTTCAATATTTTCTCCTTTTATCCACAATCATTGATAACAATGGAGTTACTATTTTGAAGAGAATTTAACATCTTTTCTTTTTTTTTTCCAAAGGTTGGCACCTGAGCTAACATCTGTTTCCAATCTTTTTTTTTCTTCTTCTCCCCAAAGTCCCCCGCTATATAGTTGAATATCCTAGTTGTGGGTCCTTCTGGTTGTACTATTTGGGGCGCCCCTCAGCATGGCCTGATGAGTGATGACATGTCCGCGCCCAGGATCCCAACTGGCGAAACCCTGGGCTGCCCACGCAGAGCACGCTAACTTAACCACTCAGCCATGGGGCCGGTCCCCCTCTTTAGCTTCTTTTTTATCTCCCTATAATACTGATTTTTAAAACAGATCAGCTAGTTATCTTATAGAATGTTCTCATTACTTTTTCTGACTTGTAGCAATTTTCAGGGTCATTCTACTTTGGAGGATCTCTTTGTCTTTATCTTTCAATATATAATTTTTTACTCGATTTTAATTAGTTATAGTATTTGTAATTTCCAACTGTTCTTTTTGCTCTTAGATTGTTTCTTTTAGCATCCTGTTCTTGTTTCATGGATACAATATTTTTCTGATGATACTATAATTTCTTTGAAATATTTTTATGCTCTCTGCATTGTCTGTTTCCTGTGATTCCTTTTTTCCCCCTGATTCTTACATGTTGGAGATTTTTAATTTTTTCCTGTTGAAGGTTTTCCTCTGGTATCTGGTGATTTTTGTCTATTCATATTTTAAGAGTGAAGTTCTAAAAGCTGATTGGAGGCCCCGCGTGTATGTTTGAGTCTTGTCAATTGAAGGAATTCACTGTAGGCTTTTCCTATGGAGGCCCCCCAAATGTCAGTATCGGTGGCTCTTTTTTCTGGCATGCTTCATTTTTTCCTGAGAAGTCCTTTATTTTCTGCTAGAGAGTAGAACTTGGCTGTGAAGTTCTGTATCTGAGCAGAAGCCTGGGTGTCTCATTTTCAGTTTCAGACTTAATTCCTCTCTTTTCAGTAAGATGTCTCACTCCCACTCTGATCTGTACCTGGGGTCCCCACATCTACAATTTCTTTGGTTTACTTTCTCCAGAGGTGACATTTCTTGTTTGCTACAGAGGTAGAAGTAGTAGCCTGATTATATGAGGTGGAGTGGGGACCTGAGGATCTGACCACACATTTAACAGATTTTCAAACAAATCTCCCTTTTCAGCACTACACGCCTTCCATCTCTACTCCTCTTCCTGCTTCCATTTCCTGAGTCTTCCCAGAGTTCCTCTAGGTGAGCTGTCTTGCATCTCCTTGGTTTCTCCTTCTCCAACTGCTTAGGCTTGACCTTCCTTGGGACTGCTACGTCCTTTACCATCCTCCATCCATTTTCTATTTTCATGCATTGTGGTTTGGGGTGACTACCAGTTCAATAAGATGAAATTTGTGTTTGTGGGGTTTTTATTTCCTCCTTGTTATTTTTGAGAGAAGTGCTGCAGAAAAGATCTCAGCTATTTTGAATTGGAAAGCATTCACTGTTTTTATATTTAGTTTTTCAAATGCCTTGAGTTCTTTACTGCCTTTGGGCTTTTGCATTTGGTGTTCCAGCTCTCTGAGACATTTTCTTTTCCCTCCCTCATCTTCCATCCTGGCCAATTCCAAGTCATCTTTTAGGTCCCAGCTAGATTATTCCTAGATGAGTCTTTCCTGACCACCCAGACTAGGTTAGGTCCACTCCAGATGAAATGTTCTCCTAACACCTGCCTTGACTCTAATTCAGTATGTACTGTCTGTCTTCCCCGCTAGCCTATCACCCTATGAGGGAAGAGACCATTTCTGTCCTGTTGACTGCTATATCCCCAGTGTCTAGCGCAATGTCTGCATTCTGTAAGGGACTAATACATATTTTTTAATGTTGATCAACATGTATTGCTCACTATAAAGATTTGTAGCTTAATTTACAGTTGCCACCACCAATAAGTAGTCATTTAGAGTTCAACAATCCTAGTTATTATGATTGTCTAGTTATTGTTATGGAAACGCTATACTATAATATGGACTGTTGTCCATCTTCAAGTTTATTTTACAATGAACACTTTAAAAATTTTAATGTACCGATGATAATATAATATGCCCTCAGATCAATATAGTATATAAGTTTTCTATTCCTGCTGTTACAAATTATCACAGACTGAGTGGCCTAAAACAACATAAATTTATTATCATATGATTCTGGAGGTCAGAAGTCTAAAATGGGCTGGCAGGGCTGCATTCCTTCCGGAGGTTCTAGGGGAGAGTGAGTTTCCTTGCCTTTTTTAGCTTCCAGAGGCTGCCTGTATTCCTTGGCTCACAGACCCTTTCTCACATCACTCTGACCTCTGCTTCCATTGTCACACCTCCTTCTCTGACTGATTCTCCTGCCTCCCTCTTACGAGAACCCATATGATTAGGTTGGGCCCAGATAATCCAGGATAATCTCCACTTCCCAACAGCCTTAATTTAACCACATCTACAAAGTCCACTTGCCACATAAGATAAAATATTCACGGGTTCTGGGGATCAGCATGTGGAGATCTTTGGGGGGCCCTTATTCAGCCTACCATACATATATGGCAAAATGTGAACCCAAAGATGAATTAGCTGCTGCAAGAAATGATAAAAACTTCACGCATATATATTTAAAATTTTATATCAGAACAACCTTCAAAGTAGATAAAATAACTTTAAGTGAAAAATATCATAAATATATATTGAAGTAATGAGACAAGACACCTAACATAAACCAATGATTATTAAATAGACAACATATATCAGCTCAATGGTTGCCTAGGCTTCCATGTGCAAGTCCATTATCATGCTTTTGTAAATCCTGGGATTTCTTGGTGTTTTCAGGTAGGCACACCATTTCCTAAAGGCAATTATCTAGTTATACAAACAACAAAGTGTTTTCCTTACATATAATTAAAAATAAACTTTAGATGAAAAATATAATTAGCATTGATTATTTTTCAATAAATACCTCTTAACATCCTGCAGAATTGTTTGGGAAAAATTTGTATTATAATAAAACCTTATTTGGAGAAAATCAAGTCCAACATTCTTGATCATTTAATTTAAAAGACCATGGTTAGATATTTTATCCTCAGTTATCCAGCAACGTCATGTGAATAACTGGTACAAAACGACAGTTTCACAGCGGGCTGATGGGTAAGGCCGTCAGCTGGCTTTTTCAAATAAGAACCTCATCCTAGAACTGCATCTTGACTCTCAAGTTTACCCGTTTTATTCAGGGCTGATCTGGCTCTGATGCATTAGCTGGAGAGCATGTCTTTTTCCCAATGGAAAGTTTACCTGAAAAATCAAATTAGGGTCAGAAGGTTGCCTGATGAATATAGTTCAAACGTCAGGCTTCCCAAGGCACCAAAAATGTCCAGGCACTCACAACCCTTCATCCCATAGCTCCCTCTCCCCTAATCTGGCCCAAATTACAATAATCAAAATACTGAAGTAGCATTCTACACAGGAAAATGTGGTACATTTGAAAATGATGAGTCAGAATTCTACTTGATGATTTTCCCCCCTTGATTTATGTAGCTGAGATAGCTGCTTATTGCCTTTCTCTCAAAGTTATTTCTTTTCACTTCTGGCTTCTTCCTCTAAAGGTGCAATATAGCTTTATTGTATTTACTGTCCAGTACAGTAGCCACTAGCCACATGTAGCTACTGAGCACCCGAAATGTGGCTAGTCTGAATTGAGATGTATTGTAAGTATAAAATACATACCAGGTTTTGAAGACTTATATTAGTGAAGATGTAAAATATTTCATTAATTTTTTTTATATTGATTACTGTTGAAATGATAGCATTGGATTTATTTTGGGATATATTTGGTTAAATAAAATATATCATCAAAATTAACTTTACCTGTTTCTTTTTACTTTTTTTATGTAGCTGCTAGAAAAATTAACATTACATATGTGGTTCATATATTCTTATTGGATAGCACTGATCTAAGGCTCCTGAAGGCTTCCCCGTTTCCTTCTTTAGTCATTCTTTATGGTTTGACCTTCTTATCCATTCCTTCCCTTTCCAGTAACTGCTTAGATTTAGAAGGTACAAATAGAAAGTCAAACTCTGTGGCCAAGTCAAGAGAATTAAGTACACTGGTAGGCAATGAAAGTCTTCATTCAATTTTTCAACTTACCGCATTGGTGCAAAATATTATGAAAAAAGGGAAGGGACTGGAGAATAGCCTTAATTAGTCTCTGTAGAGGTGGACTGTGTGTTTGTCTATATGGAGGATCAAAGAGGATACAAGACTCATTCTGGGGAGGAAACACACACACACACACAGAAGACAAAGAATGTATTCTAGTTCCAACCCTCCTCACTTCTTTAGATTTTTTATCTGTTTTTCTTTCGGCTACACTACAAATTACTCTCTTTTTTCTGTGTGTACTTATTTAGACCGTTCCCTTGAAGGAATGTGGCTATGGAAAAGGCAAAGAAAATCTGCTAGGAGATGAGGATGTGGGTGGTGCAGCAGATCTAAAGACCAAGCAACATAGAAAGATGTTTATCTAAGTTGCAAAAGACCTTAGAGATCACCCTGTTCCATCTTCCACCCAAATCCATAACCCTTTTATGGATGGAATAAAGGCTGCTTGTATTGTTCGAACATCGATATTCATCTAACATACCAAATATATACTGAGAATTGAGGAAAGTCCTCTGAAAATAAATTTTTCAACAGGGAAAAAACATGAAGAAGAAAAAACATGATGCCACTGTTTGTGAACCTGAAGAACTCCTGAATCCCTCTCCGAAAGTAACAAATTGTTGCAAATCACCGTGGGTGAAGTACAGTTTTCAGAAGGCATACATGACCCGACTTGTCAGCTCCCAGCAAGTTTCAGCCATGTCAAGGAACCCAGGTAAGATATTATTCGTATTAAACTAAGATAAATATTCTGCTTAGCATGTATTTTTTTGGGTACTGAGGACATAAAATTGGGTATTAAATAGATTATTTAAACATTAACTGCAAGAAGATAGTGGTAAATCTATTCATCAAAGTTCTTAGGTGGTAAAATCTAAAACTGACTGCTTCTTGGTATTGAGTCTCTTAGTTTCTATTAATTCTGAATCACGGATGTGACAACGAATTAAGATGATCCCAAATCAACTAAAACAGATCAAATTTATCTTTTAATAAAAATTTGTCTTTAAACTTGAGCTGACAATGTCTGCATGGTTAAGGTGGGGAAAACTCAGTTTCAGTTCCTTCTTGATTTTGCCAGTATAGAAAGAACATGAAGGAAAGATAAACTTGGAATTTTGTTTTGCAAAAATGTATGATTCCCAAACGTCCCAGAATGTTGTAAAGTTAAAGGTTTATGTTTTGAAAAGCATTAAAGAGTGATGGGATTAAATGTATGGGGTATTAGAGTTTCAGATTAAAAACATGCTAGAAACCTGAAAGTAACTATTAAAACTAATCTCAAACTATTCCCAATTTAAAAAGAATTACATGCCACTGATAAAGTGGAAATTTCAAGCATCCTGATCGTCTCTTGCCACCCTATCAAACGTGGTATCCATTTTCTAGAAAGAACTCAATTGACTAAAATTTTGAATTTTCATCTGTGCAAGTGTCAACAATTATTTCTCAAAGCCTGAGACTGTCACCTGTGAATACCCTCTAGAACATAGATTTTGTTTTTTAATTGAGATGTGATTCATACACCATAAAGTTCAACTATTTAAGGCACACAATCCAGTGGGTTTTAGTATATTCACAAAGTTGTGCAATTGTCACCAATCTTCTAGAACTTCTGTTTTATTGTAAACGTTTCCCAACATGTTTTCTCACTCACTGTACCGCTTGACCCTCACACACTCCTCGTGAAGCTGATGGGGGACCTTCTGAGGTACCCTGTGGGCGGTTGCCACATTTACCCAAAATGCTTTCCTAATTTCAGTTTCACCTCAAAAGCAGAAGCAGGGTGAAGAATTAATAATGCTAGCACTTTTGATTATAAATTAGAGAGTAACAGCTAACAAGCTTATCTACGTTTGTTTTCATCCCCAGAACTCTCGTTTTACTATGTACGTCAAATCTCATTTGTGATTTTATTTTAGTCCGGGGGTCCACCAGGGTGCATTCAACGACTGCCAATTAGAAACAAGGACCCCCGCCCCCGCACTGGAGGTGGTAGCAGACACTAGCCTCCTTTCCCTCCCCACGCTTTTCCTGGCCCGGGAGGCAGCAGCGCGCTTCTCCCTTTGCATTTTATGAGGTCGCTGAAGAAACAGGGGAACGTGCAGACTGAGGGAGGCGGGGTGAGAGGGACGTGGAGCTACTACTGCAGCGTCGAGAACGCCCAAGGCGGGCTGATGGGAGGCGCACGCCGGGTCCTCGGGCACCGGGTCTCTGCGCCGCCAGCTCAGGTTAGCGTCTGGAAGCGAGCCCGGCGCCCCATCCCGCCTCTGCCCGCGCGCGCGCCGTGCGCACTCCCCATTGGCCAGGGCGGGCCACGTGGCCCCCACCGCCGGCCCCGCCCCGCGGAGCGCGCGCTTTTCGCGCCAGAGAGCTGGCCTGGGCGGCGCGGCGGTGGCGGGACCTGCAGGGGCGCAGGGTCGGGTGCTCGGAGGACCGCCCAAGCTCTCCCGCTGGGAACTCTAAAAAAACAGCCCTAGATACTGCCCAGACTACAACTCTTAGTGAGGAAGCTGGTTATGGAGAAGGTCCCGTTACTCGCTCCGTCGCTTTTGTCCCGGGCTGCCATACAGACTGAAAATGGAAATCACAAGCCACATTGGCTGGAAAGTGACCCTCTGAGGCCGAATTTTATCTCTGTTACTTTGGGGAAACCTACACGTATGAACATAACTCTTCGGGAAAAAAACATAATTTTTGAATGGGGAACTTAAAGCCAGTTTTTCTTAGAAAAGTTGAGGGGGTGGATAGGAACTTGGGATGCCTAGACAACCATCCTGATACGTCATTTAAGAGAAATTAGAAATTCTTGGGAAAACGAAAATGAGTAAAAGCAACAAAAGGCCCTGCCCACGTCTAAAAATGTAATAATTATTAATAGGGAAGGGCAGAATTGAAAACGCATACGTGTATATCTATGTGTTTAGGTAGTATGAATGGATTTATTAATTGTAGAAGTCGGTAGGGTCCAGTTATTCAGCTTCTTTCTCCCTTTGAGAATGCGTGGATGTTCGTTTTTGCCTCTTTTTATTTTCTTGCTTCTAAGGCTCAGCAGCTCTCCCCCTCCTCCTCTAGGTGGACACATTTTCTTTTTTTATTCATTCAAAAAAGTACTAGGGCCTACTGTATTCCAGGTACTGGGGTGACAATGGTGAACAAAAACAGTGACAGCCCCTTCCTGGAGTGTACAGTCTGGTAGAGGAGGCAGATGGAGGAAAATTACACACACCGACGTTAAACATAATGTGCTAAGTGCTGAGAAGAGGTTCAGATGCTAGAATGGGGCTCTGACCTAGCAGGGAGGTTGGAGAAGCCTTCCCTCCGGGTGTAACCCTGGGCTGAGACCTGAAGGGGTTAAGGGAGGTGGGAGTTTCAGGCAGAGGGAGCAGCTTGTGCAAGGGGAGCTGGTAGCCTGTCCCCTGCCTGTGACTACACATTTCACCCTTTTCCACTATACATGCGTTAATATTGCCTCTTAGTTCTCAGAAGAGACTTTTTTCTTTCAATTCCAACTTTGGGAGTAACTCGTAGCCTGTAATTATTGTTGTAGACAATGTGTATCCAATAGATAAGTATACTAATATGCATTATCGTCTCTGTTTTACATAATAAAAACATGCAGTGATTATAACAAAATATAGAACATGATATATCTCCATAGAACTGAAAGTGCTATAGATATTCAAAATGGTGAGAGATCATATGATTTTGGAAGACAAAAAAGGCATCTTAGAGAAAGTAACTTTTAGGTGTACTTCAAAGGTAAGGTTTGGTCAAATGGAGTTATAGTTTAGTTAGAGCACAAGGTTCAAGAAGAAGAGTAAGGATGCTGGACAGATAAGTGGAGATATATTCTAAAGGCCTTGAAAACCAGTCCAAAGAGTTTGTAGAAACTAAATAGAAATGTTTTATTTAAGTTTTGAGGACTTTTCTGAGATACTTTTTTCCCCTCCAATGTTTACTTTGGAAAATTTAAAATCTACAAAAAAGTTTCACAAATAAGTCTATGGTTACTCATATACCCTTTGAGTGGATTTACCTCTTTTTTGGGCCACATTTGGTTTATCTTTTTCTCTCTCTCTCTGTCTACACACACACACACACACACACACACTCACAAATGTGTGCACACATGTTTTTCTTTGCTAAACCATTTGAGGTAAAGTCGCAAACGTACTAACTTCATCTCTAAATAATTCCACATATTGTCTCCTAAGAACAAAAGTATTTTTCTGCCTAACCACAGTATAATTATACTTCTGGGATACTTTTAAAATTAAATTTTGAATAACTATTCATGTGAATAAATAATAATAAATGAGTTACTAATTTAAATGGCTTGCAACAGTGCCTGACACATTTTTAGTGCTATATAAGTGTTTGCTTAAAAAAAATACATTTTCATGGTTGGACAACTAAAGAACATGAAAAGTCAGATAGTGAAAAGTCTCTTCTGCATTCTTGTCCTCCGTCAGCTGAGTTCCCACTCTCATCACTGCCTATCATAGGCAACCATTGCACTTAGATTCTTGGGTATCCTTCTAGAAGTTCTTTATGCAAATATGAACAGTTGTGAATATAGAGTTTTATACCCTCTCCCTTTTTACACAAAAGGTAGCATATTAAGCACACTCTTCTTCCTTGCTGCCTCACTTAACAATATTATTTGGAGATCTTTCTGCATTAATACTTAAAGAGCTTCCTCCTTCTTATTTACAATGGCGTATTTTTCCATTGTCTGGATACATCACGATTTATTTAAATAGTTTCCTGTTGATGTACATTTGGGTTGTTTCCACTCACTTAATGTTGAAACCAATGCTACAACAAATAACCTTGAACATTTGTGTGTTCAAAGGTTTTTGTAAAATATGATGAATAGATACATCCCCCCCCCCCAGGGGTTGTACCAATTTACATTCCCACCAGCTGTGAGAGTATCTCCAGGCTTTTGAGAAGGTTCTATCAAGAGTTTAAAATATGTGAATTTGCGTTATTGTTGCTATTTTACAACGTTAAATGAAAGGAGAGCTGACTTCAAGACAAACTAAGAGGGAGAGTTTTCCTTAGATAAACTTGCAAGAGTAGCCAACATTTTTCATCCAAACCTAACTTTCTTTTCTGTTCCATTCTCTCCACTCCATTAGGCAGCTACATCTTTATAATAATAATCAACAATATCTGTTAAGTGCCTTCTATGTGTTGGACACAGAGCTGGGTCTCAGAGATATGAAATAGATTCATGCCCTTCAGGGTTTCAGCATTTAGTTGGTCAGATATGCACAAACTATAAATAGTTATCATGTTGAGTTCCAGAACACAAAACATACCTCTTGCTTTTGGCACAGTCAGTCCTTTGTTGCATCCTGTCTCCAAGTCCTTCCTTCTCTGCCCCTTTGCCTACCCAGTTGAGCTCGTTGGCTTCCTTGTACCTCCTTCGTTTTTCCCAAGGTCCATTACTGAAACATCCAATTTGTATTCCATTTGTCTAATGCAGATACTAGATTTTGTATTTCCCAGGTGACATTTAGTTAATTACTTAAATTAATCATTGCAAATCATTATGCTTTTGATTGGCACAGGCAGGGCTGGCCCTAAACCCATTTGGAAGTAGGTGACATTCATTTGGAGGATCTCCCCACTCGGTTACCCTTTCTACACTTTGGGCACCTTCTCTTCTGGGTGAGCTCTCAGCCCTCACTGGTACCCTCACTT